CCCCAAAACCCCAAAACCCCAAAACCCCAAAACCCCAAAACCCCGAAATATTTATATCAAATTGAGATTAAGAAAATATTAAAATTTGAATTAAATGGAGAAGTCAGACCCAAGATTAATTCGTAAGTTATGATAGGGTTATAAGCTTTCAAACTGTAAAATATAAATATCGGTGACCATATTCTCTGATCATACAACTCATAATGGTTGATTTCAGGATAAAACTCATCATTCAAATAACTCTGGCTTTTATTGATTTTTAAACCAAATTCAATTTAACAACTCATGAAGTACTACTATTTTGCTTTCATAACTCTTCAAATTTTTTGAATGTGCTTTGGGATCCTTAATTAAAAGTCTAGTTGGTCAATTTCCCACATGATGCTTTTTAACTTTAAAATTTATCAAATCTCACAATTCTTGAGGCATAATTCCAGCTTCTGTAGGTAAAATTCAAACAGATGTGCAAGACCTGGCATCAAAAGCTCATCTGGATGGTAAAGTCTGTTCTATTTCCAATAACTTAACCCTTAGGAACCCCGTGATTTACTCCGTTATACTAGAATTCTTTTGTATAAACCTCTAAAAATGTTAAATTTTATTCAAAAATTAAGCTAATCTTTCAAAAGTGCCAACGCAAGAACTTTTCAACTTGAAGTACTTGGACACTAAACACACAAGCAAGTGCTTGCTCCCATTGGAGAAACAAGTAGGCTCATTTTGAGATGAGATCCAGTATGAGTGAGTCACCCTGAAGATACATAACTAAAAGACAACAGAAAGTGCAGTAAGTCGATCTCTAGCTAAGCATAAGCTAAGTTTATCAATCTCTAGGCATCAGAAATACAGCGGCCAGATCGTCAATAACGTCTGTAACAATAAGACTTCCTTTATGCCACTCAAATGACCAGAAGATTCCTTCGAAATTGATGAAATCACTAGCCCTCGAGAGTCTCATGCTCATGAGAATCTCTCTCAGAAGATGAGTAGCAGGTATAAGTCCGCATTCCAGACTGTTAACCATAAATGGGCAAACGCTTATCGGCGTGTCAAGGATAACACTCTCGGGCATTTCATTAATGTTGCCCATGACTTGGTGACCAAGAATCCATCGAAGAGAAATATCAGTAATTCTATGTACAAGACAGAAGGTAAATTCTGAGGTTTTAGCATAGATCCTGGCTTGCAATCATTGAAAATGAATAAGACGAGGTCAACCTCTTTCAAAATTTTGAAGAGAAACAAGCATCTGGGTTCTTCCCTGAGTTTAAAAGTTAGACTTGACCTTGAAAAAGGTGACAAAGCTGGCTCTGATCTGCAAAATTCAGAGAAAGATAACATATTGTCTTGAAATAGCAAGCCTACTCCCTCCAACCGTCAAAAGTTGCAATCGAAGAGAGATGACTTGGAAGAGTTTCTACGTCTTGAAAAACTATGAAGGACAGATATCTTCAAGAAGAGGCCTGAGCCAAGCTGATCATCTCCAAAGAAACTTATGAGGGCTAACCATAATGTGCTTCAAGATGTGACTCAGAGTAAGAGTTCTGTTTAATTCCTGTATAGACAAGCCTAAGTTCTTCCAGAAGGTAAGAATAGTGAGGTAATTCTCTAGCTAAGGAAGCCTAAGAGGGGCTAGAACGCTTCTTATAAAGACTGGGCCAGATATGCCTCAAATTATCCCAGCACTTATGGATATTTTCAACTTTGGTCTATATCTAGGGGTTTTGGGGTTTTGGGGTTTTGGGGTTTTGGGG